TCTGTTACACATGTACTGAACAACAAACAGTACTTAACATTACAATATGTTTATACTTTAATAATGTTCTGTTACACATGTACTGAACAACAAACAGTACTTAACATTACAATATGTTTATACTTTAATAATGTTCTGTTACACATGTACTGAACAACAAACAGTACTTAACATTACAATTTTTTTTCTATCACATAAGGATTTTTTACAAATCGGTAATAAAAAAAACTTACTCAGATCAAATTATTATTTCGTTTACCACAATGAACATTTTTTTATTACTATGTTTGTAAACAAAAATGCAAACAAACTGAAGAAAAGGGAAGAACATCGATGTCAAACGATTATGCATCCTCATTCATCCTGATATTTTTTGTGAAATCTACAACTTTCTGTCTCAGAACTATGTGTTGTGGTCTTTCTTTTATGTATTGCATTATGACGTTTTGTGAAAAATCTGTAAGTGATGGAGAAAAATGGATATCATTTTGGGATTCAACAAACAGGAATTACCGGAGATCACGTAAAAAATTTGAAGACAATAAAACCATTGTAGGCCTGTGTAATTGGCCACCTTAAAATCTTAGCTCAACCAGGCAACATATTTATTTCAAGGCTGTTCTGAGGTATCCCATTCCCTCCTTTCAGCACTATTGTGCCCCCCCTTTCCCCTAAGCTCATGCCCTATAGGTTGAGTGCACTGCACTATATGTATGTACATGTGTGTTTGTGTACATGTTTATAACTTGAAGCTTATAGACTGATATTTTGTTCTCTGTTATTTGTTTGTAAGTGGAATGTGTATTCACCGATTTTTTTTTTTTCTCCTTTCAGAATTACCAGCAGAAGAGGGTAGGTTTAACTTTTTTCTATTTTCACTCGAAAAAAAACAAATTCTCATTCATAGTGACTGAATGATTGGTTTTATAACAGGAATGTTTCAAGTCTTTGTAGAAATAAGTTATAATTAACAACTTAGTCTTTCAATGTTTATCAGTTGTTTATAGTTATTATATATGTACACAAAAAAAAACAGTTAATATGTTATTGACGAGCCAGTTTACATAACGATTTCCTCTGAGGCACCCTTCAGCCAAGTTCTACTTGGTCATTAGCATGCATAATGGGCAAAATACTCATTTGAATTATGTCGGTAACCCTTTGATTTATACTTCGACATAGTAGTAATTCGTAACCCTAACTCATGCTTTAGTATGTAGAAAGATTTGAATATAAACATAAAAAAGATGAGTTTTAAACCATATACTGGAGTTAATCATGCTGTTATTGTTAGATTCACATCTCCAAGTTGTAGACTTAGAATCATAAATGTGGTGTATGCTATATTTATGTCATTGAAGCAGAGCTTAGTTGTGTTATAGAACTGTTTATCAATAGATATAATACAACCATAGATTTGAATCTGGTGTAAAAAAAAACTACATTAAACTATAATCTTCTTGTAGTTATCTCTCCTTATTGATATTAAAAAACTGATTTTTATTAGATGTTTTGTGCTTATGAGTTTCAAAGACCTTTACTATATTTAGTTTAGGTACACAATTTATTTAGGTTACAAATATAGATCAGAAGTAAAAATTAACCCAATAATTAATTTAGTTAATTCTATATACCATCCAAGTACAGGGGTAAAACATTTGGAGTTTTCTAGGAAATGTAATTAATAATATACTTTTGTGTATTTCTTCCCCGATTGAAATCAGTCCTAGGAAACGTACATCTACAGGGATCGAAATATTACATTCCCGAGGAATTACATGTTTTTAGTAGCCTTTCCCGATTGGTCCATCTGTATTCCTTTAGTTATTGACCAATGAAAGTGAACATATTGCAGGGATTAAATCAAAAAACAATTCATGAGGAAAGTGTAATCTTCCTGATAGCTTTCCCTCAAGTGATTGTAATTTTATTTCATTATGTCTATCCCTGATCTAATGGTTTAAGTACAGTATTTTATCAGGTGTTAAAATCATTAGTAATAGGAAAAATTATTCATAATTGGGTAACCAGTGCTGCTCGGTTACCCGGCCACAAAAAAACTTGCTGATTACGTTTGATAAACTATAAAATATTTAGTATGTGTTATGTGTAATACTATTGGAAAACAAAGGACATTTTCAGAAAATTAAAATATTATCTACAGTATTTGACTACATAAAAATGGATTTGTTAGTCTGTAATTTTTTGTTTTTTAGGGATTTCTTAACTCTGTTATTGCCATGTTTATAGTTGACTCTTCCACTGTTAGGCTGTTTTCTTTTGGTACCTAGTAAAGAAAACAAAAATATGTATCCTATTACTTAAATATATTAACAGTTAACAGGAGAACAATGTTAAAATAATTTCACAATAAATAATCTATTAAAAACAAGGACCAGCCACGTGGAGTTTTTTTTTTAGGGCTGGTCTGTGTTTTTAATCAGTTATTTATTGTGCGATTATTTTAACATTATACTTCCTTGATTTGTATATATCTTATACTAGAAACTTTTAGAAGTTTCAACAGGAATACACTTTCTTCGTGGTAGTACAAAATTTCAAACTCGCGTGGTAGTGAAAGAGTTAAACACTAGAGTGACTGATAATCAATAGTTATTCTGCGTTATCCTTGTTTTTATTATCAGGTTCTCTGCTGAACCTACCTGAATAAATCCCACTTGTCTTAACCATCATTATTTTATATCTATCCACTATCTGCTGATCTTTTGTGACTGTAACAAAAATAAGAATTTTCGTTTAACATTAAAATTAATCTGTAAATTAGTGTGTTAAAGTCTTAACATGATGACTAAATGATCTTTCATCTTGCAGGTAAACCTTTATGGCAGCTTATATTAGAACAATTTGATGATTTACTAGTGAAGATTTTACTTTTAGCAGCTATAATATCATTTGTAAGTATTTCTTTAAGTTGTCATTAAATCCTTTCCGAAGAGTACATAAGTAATTGAAATTGCTGTTTCTCTATTATGTGATAAACTAGGTTTATTCATCATAAAAAATTAAATAACATTCTGTTCTTTACCTGTGAAGAAATAAGATCAACCTGTTTCAAGTTGTAGTTTTTATTCTTATAATGTTATTTATATTTTATTCTTGATGTTCTCAAGCAATGTTTCTTATAGGGTCATACTTACGTAAAGCATCTGAGGAGTGTAACTAAATTAAAAGGTTATTTATCTCGTTACATCAAAACTTGTATTTGTTTTGTAAGAAATAAGGTGTTATGGGAATATTCAGAATTCTGTAAATATCAAGTTTCACCGATACACCGTCCTACAAACCCATATTTACTGTATTAAATTGTGGCCTTAATTGAAACTATAGGAATGTATAGAATTAACCTGAGTCATAGAACATGCTGGAAACAACACTAGAAGTATTTCCTACAAACTGATCGACTCATCTAATAAGAGACACCAGATCAAGCCACACTTTCAAAACGTGGGTATCTGAAGCAAGTATTAAAACTCAACAGGGTGACGGTACCGGTACTGTAGGTATTTATAAACAAATTCACACACAAGACCATAACACATAAACACTACTGTCTCAGAAAACTCAACAGGGTGACGGTACCGGTACTGTAGGTATTTATAAACAAATGAAGAAATTCGCACACAAGACCATAACGCATAAACACTACTGTCTCAGATGAGGCTCGGAGGTATATTTCCATTAAAAACACTGCATTAGATGGAACACCTTTCATGTTTAATCTAAGAACAGCACCTTTAAACATTTTTACTTAATTTTATTATACACGTTTCATTGTCGGGGATTATCATCATCTTGGCATCTCCATGTATTAGGATACCAGTGTTTTATAAACTTCTTTAGTTCTTCCATATTGACTGGTTGTTGTTGTTGTGTTGTATAGCATATTGACGGGGTGTGGAGATTATTACATGAACCAAACTTTTAAACTTCTGTAGTGTCTTTTCCGTGCCAAAAATAAAATATTTTAAAAATATATATATAGATTATATGTCTATTAATTTCCTTCATGAGTCCATAACAAGTTAAAACTGCCAAATCATTTTTCTATACAAAACAATAAGATACATATGGTATGTATTTCTGTCAGCGGAGTTTGTTTCATGAAAATGCATTATCTCAGGAATTGTCTCTTAATTTGTAATATTTCTTTAAAGACAAATCATTGTCTCCCAGTTTTTCTCTGTGAAGTTGCCATTTGAGTGCTATTTACAATCCAGTGAAATCTGTTGGAGTGGTTCTTGAAAACCGAGATAAATTTGTCACTTGATTACAAATCGTGACTGAGTCTCTCGCCAAATGAAACTATACATACTTAGTACCTTAATAGTATTGTGTATTTGCTGCAGCCCCTGTTTGGGAATCCCTGCTTTATGTCATAAATTATTGTTATATAATTTATTACACATCAACACAGAAATTTGACTTATTAATTACTCACCAGTTTTCTTTAACGTTTAGTGAACATTGATTTGACATATTAATCTATATCATTTTATTTAGTGTACAGGTTATAATTATCATTGATTTAAGCCTGGTGATTAGGATTCTAAACTTTCAATTGCAGGTTCTAGCATTAAAACTCATTGTGTATATGTTCTCCTTTTAGCCATGGAGGTTAACATAGCATTAATGTATAACATATTTAATGTACTGATTAACATAAATGTATTAATCTGTAGTGTATTTATTAATATTCTGATTAACATAAGTTGATGTATTAATCTGTAGTGTATTTATTAATATTCTGATTAACATAAGTTGATGTATTAATCTGTAGTGTATTTATTAATATTCTACAGATTAATACATCAACTTATGTTAATCAGAATATTAATAAATACACTACAGATTAATACATCAACTTATGTTAATCTGATTATTAATAAATACACTACAGATTAATACATCAACTTATGTTAATCAGAATATTAATAAATACACTACAGATTAATACATCAACTTATGTTAATCGGGAAAAATACAGGAACTTAGTCATTACCACCAGTTCTAAAAGTAAAACTTTCTACATTCACCCACATACAACCAACCTAACAATAATGATTTTATCTGCCCTTTTTTTTAACATCCTTGGAATTGTGAAGAAAAGACTAATGTTTAATGTGAACTTTCTGAAATTAGAAATTACGAGAAGTTATATTTCCTTTAAGGAATTCAAGCACATTTTGTTTCACTTTTTAATGAAAAGTTAATATCATATGGACCTCTTCTGACCAGAATCTTGATACAATGAGGCTTTTAAACTTCTGTATTCAACTATAAAATGACTGACGTATCAACTATCCTCTGAACTCTGTGTACATTACTAAGTAGCAAGGGGGGTCTGTTGTAGGCCTATTTTTGAGCTTTTCAGAAATGTTTAAAAACTCGTAATTTTTTTTTTCTTTTCTCATCCGAATTTTTTATAAACTTTTTGCATTCAAATACAAAATACCACAACCAAAAAATGTTTCGTGCGTGAAGCACGAGTTTTCCCCTAGTTTAAGGCTTAAGATACAGCTGTAGAAATCACTTGTAAATGTTATTGTACAAGTTATACTGTGACGGGGTATACGCGCCAAAGCTGGATAACTAAGCTACTGTTATACAGTAAGATCTTGTGGAGTAATAAAAGAAAAAAAAAACTTACATTTAAGTTCTAAGTGGTGTTGCATATCGCATTACGGAAAAGTTATAAGTCCTGAATTACCGTTAAAAACAAACCGTTTGAAGTATTGTGACGTAATGTTTTGAACAGAGATCGTTATTTGGTAACAGATTTTGACTATTTTCATTCAACCAATCAAACTTTTTTGGATGATGCACAAGAGAAGGAGATACGCAGTTCGAAACGTGAATCGTATACGTCATGACTTAAACAATTGCGAACAAGTGAAACTACTCTAACTTTTCAAGCAGTTGGTGAACAGTTTAATAAACATGTTTTATTTAAAATAACGATTATAAGTGAATCATAATTGTTTCTCTGTTAGTACTTGCATATATATCCATAAAATTTTAATTAAAACTACATTTCATATAAACGTTTTGATTACTCTCCTAATACTTATGCGAATAATATACTTAATAATAATAGGCCTACTTATCTGAATTATTTGTTTTATACCTATGAGTGAGACTATTTTTAGCCGCGTGTCATAGAATGGGTCCGAGTTTTTTTGTTTTGTTTCTCCGAAGTACAGACTTTTAACTCGTAGCTCCGACATCTCTTGACCGATTTGAGATCTAATTACAGTTTTAGACTCGGAATGTCAAACAAACTATATATATTTGATATATTTGACCACGCCTAAAGTCGCAAAGATTAATTTACTCTAATCCTGCCCAAAAAAAGAATTTTAATTTGAGGACAGGCTAACAGAGATCCTGAAGATGGGTAATAAAATTGGATCGGGTATATGTGCGCTCCACGCTTGGTATTACTGACGCTCAAAAATATATCTAATAAAAAGGAAAATAGATCTCGTACGTCAATGTACTCTAATCCCGCCTAAAATAATTTCACGTGCCGTGGCTATTCAGGGTTCCCTCTTGTTCATCTTACAGCTATTTAAAGTTTCAATATATATACAAAAATTCCTTAAGTAATTAATTCCCAATTCGTTTGTTAAGAGATACTTTTTTTTCTGGGATTCTAAAATAAGGCTAAATAAAAAATATACTTAAAATTTTTTTTAGCATTCAGGAAATTGTGTGTTTGAAAACTAGGTAGTTTGAAATATATAAATCTTTATTTATTTTAATGGCTTCTTTATTTAGTAACAGTTTTATCTAACATTAATGTAAGGCGAAGTAAGACCCTAATCCTCAAAACTTTGTATGGTTCAATGAAAAGTAGGTTTTTTATACTTTTATATGTGTTTTTGTTTTTTATGGCTTCTGTTAGAAGTATTAACTGAATAATTGGATAACAATGCAAGGTTTATTGCACAAGGCTACACACAAGGACATATTCAGTATTGTTTCATCCTGTTTTATTGTTAGTGTGGTATCGAATACGTGTGTGTTAAAGCAGGTTAGATTACCGTTGCTATAACGATAGTTCACGAGTTGTACTTTTGTGTGTAATAATGTTTACGTCACGCTCACGTCACAGTAACTGAGCTCGAGGGCCTGACGTTTGCCTTAAATAGGCTGAAGACGCATTAATACTGAGTTTTTTCATTTTTTAACATACCAGTTCAGAAAATATCAAGATGTATCTAAAAGTTGTCGGGCTGTTACAGACATCACCGGAACTGTTAACCTGCTGAGGTTCATTTTTAAACCATTATTAGCGACACGTTATCAAAGCAACTGTTTCTAACTGCAAGATGTAATTTACTGAACCCGTACAAACAACGTAACCTTTTTCGCAATCGTCTTGTTGACTTGGTATAGACTGTAGCTTGTTGTGTGGACCACTCTTGAAAATATAAACAATTGAAGTACAGTGGACTGTTTTGTTTTTTTTATAACCGTGTAACTTATACATGTCACCACAATCGGGCAACATTATAAGGTGTTTGGTGACGTGATGTTGGTAGTGTGATGATGTGTGTTTAATGATCGTAGCTGTAGTATTCACTCTCGAGTATTACGTTTAAAAATCAACCGTCTGTTTCGATCAGCAGATGGTCAGTTCACGTGTGGCTCAGATATCTAATGACCATGTAGCTGGACATAAATTATCGTTTTATTTTTACATAGTTACAGGTTAACAGATATATTTATATTCGGGTCACATTATTTTTTATTTTTTCAGGGAGTAACAGGTGAACAAGCTTGAATTGTGCTGTAATTTTTAATGTTGCTTTTATTTATCTCAAGTTTTTTTTTAATCGAGAATTTGATTTTTATCAAAACAATTTGAACTTCAGCTAAGCACCCCCCATCGCCGGTGATTCTATGGTAAGAGTGAAGGTTTATAACTTAAAATTCTGGGTTTAATTCCCGTGAGATGGACAAAGCTCGGATAACCCGTTGTGTAGTTTTGTACTCAACAACAAATATAAGACTTTTCATAGTTTAAAAATGACATTTTCTGCTTACAGGCTTTAGCCTTATTTGAAGAACACGACGGCCAGATCACAGCTTTTGTCGAACCATTCGTCATCTTACTTATTCTCATCGCCAATGCAGTCGTCGGTGTGTGGCAGGTAAGACTTACGTCCGTTCAACATCTTAGTGCTCTCGAGTTGGAAGAAATGACCAGTGTTTCCCAATTCATTTATATTACATAATAAAGCTCTTTTTTTTTAAATAGGATTATTTGTTGTTGAAATGTTAAATGCTATTAATATTAATATTTTGTCTGCAAGTTTCGTTTTTTTTTCGGAATTTATTTTATAAACTAACCAGGATGAAGTATAACACCCCATCCAGTAATGATATCGTCCTGAACTGTGGATTCGAGGTCCTATGGCTCGTGGCCTATTCCCGCCACGAAAGAAAAGAAAAAAGTAAAAATCATGGGTGCATTACAATCCCACTTTGATTAAAGGTAGCCCAGGTAGAGGCGGTGTTGACTAGCTGCATTACCCCCCCCCCCCAAAAAAAAAGTGTGTCACTTGAAAACCACTAATGGCTAGTCCTGGAGTTGTCTTGCGCGAAATTCAACAAAACATTTTTCCTGATACCCCAGGTTGGTATCCTGCTTAGGACATTTTGATACCTGGACATTTAATCCAAAACTTCCTGTAGATATTGTATTAAGATGGTTTTTACATCCTACAAGCCTGTTGACAGAGCTCGTATGTTTCGTCTTTACGAACCAATAAAGAGAAGACTAACCTTACACTATTTTACGAATATGTTTTTGAAACAGTTTCTTCCCGATAAGTGGAGTCTCGGGTTCGAATCCCACCCCACCCCTTTGATTTCTTCCGATTAATTGCTTGCTTAAGGAACAATATTCGATACAGAACACGTTCACACAGTTATTGTGACTGCACTGCAAAAATACTTTGGTGTTATGTTTTAAATAAACACTCGTGTAAATTATTTAAATTTGCGTAGAAGAAAAGGTCCCCAATTTTGTTTTTTAAAAGATCCCTCACAGTACACATTGTAGTGCTGGCTACGCCCTCTGTTATTTACATAAGTTATTACTCTGTGAGACCAGCCGATAAGACAGAATCATTTATGGATTCTTAGAATCTGGTAGCTCGTAATTTTCTTTCACAGTCTCTGAATCTGATTACGAAAGATACAGCTAACTCGAGGTCAAAAAGTTCAATGAGTTTAGAAATTATTTTAAGGATTCTTGGTTAAGTTGATTGATGTTATTCACAATCTGTGGATAACTTTTTGTGATGTGATAGTCAGGAGAGCTAACACTTGGATAATTATAGAGAAATCATTCCAGGAGATATAAATAGATGCGTGTTTTTTTGTCGTCATTCTTTACGGATTTGCCCTCAGGGTCGTTTTTAATGAGGTGTATTATTCTTAGTAAAGTTCACAGAATAACATCTATTTGGTAATGTTTTCACCAGCTTTCTTGTATTATTTTTTTGAATGATGTAAATTAGAAACAAAACACAAAGTAAGCTGTATGAATCGGCACATCAAAAGAGACCATATGTGGGGAGTGAAGGAGTTAGCTAGCAGTGATATAAAACAGACCTCTTAAAAATAGGCTTGATATTTCCCTGGTTTCTTGTAACTGGGATTACCTACACACGTACACTAAATACGTAGTAGTAATATATTAGTACGCGTACATTTATTTATATGTGTATATGTATTATGTTTAGTCGATTGCACGCACATGTACATCACGACGTAACGCACGAAGCACAAAATATCGGCCGTATATATAATCCATATTTTGTGCTTCATCCATAGAAAACATAACTTTGGTTTTATATAACATCACATCTTTTTCTTCGGAGGTGAAAACCTTTGTAATTACTAGCTTTAATATTATTAAAGGTGACTTTTTTTTTTTCCTTAAAGGAGCGATTTCGGGAATTTCTCAATGTGTTTATACAAACGCTCAATAGATGGCGTTACATCCATATAAAAATTTGCAATGCTATGTTTGTTTGTTTTTTATTGCACCGGAGATGGCAGAATTTATCCCTAGAGGTGTTCTTATTATTTTGAATTAGTAAATAAATTAATACACATGTGGTAAACTAATAACGCATTGGCTCAGTGATGACTGTTAAAGAAAAATCATTAAAGACTTAAATACTCAAATTATTTGAAAATCGTGCATTTTCCCCGCCAAATGTTACTCTACGTATCCCAAATAGTCCATATTACAATATTTAATTTGAAAAAGACTGCATAAACACCTTACTTATATCAATCAACTTGTGCACATATGTAATGCAAGCTTACCAAATGAAGTATTCTACAAACTTTATCGGTGGCGCCACCTACTAGTAAGTTAAAACATAATAACCATGTTTATTACACATTTAGTTTTAAAACAAGTACAGTTCCACCTGGTAATACAAGGTATGCAGAAATTGTTATCTTTCTGTTTCAAAGACAATGGCTACTTAGATGAATAGAGATGCATTACAGCATGAAAACAGTTTCAACAAATTCAAAAATTTGTTGTCATAACATTAGGACTTTTTGTACTTTGTGCTATGACAAAATCAGAATAGTTTATCTTTTTAATACTTGCTAATAAGATAACCTATCCTTTCGACACTACTATAACCTGAAGAATTGTTGGTTGACATGATTTGAGTCCTTGCTGGCCCAGCATGGCTAGGTGGCTAGGGCGCTCGACTCGCAATCTGAGGGTCGCGGGTTCGATTCCCCGTCTCACCAAAACATGCTCGCCCTTTCAGCCATGGGGACATTATAATGTGACAGTCAATCCCGATATTCTTTGGTAAAAGAGTAGCCCAATAGTTGGTGGTGGGTGGGGATGACTAGCTGCTTTCCCTCTAGTCTTTCACTGCTAAATTAGGGATGGCTAGTGCAGATGGCCGACGTGTAGCTTTTTCAAAACCAAACAATCTTTGCTTTTAGTTTAAGGCTTAAACATACTAGTAAGTGAGCTGACACCTTTGCTTACCGACAAGACTAACTTGTTGTTTTTGTCAGTTCCGAATAATAAGCAGGCTGATTTAAAATAATAAATAGTGATATGTGGTAATAAAATAAATAATGCAGTGCCAAAAATATTTATCTTAGTTCTGAATTCTTGTGACATAAATGGAATTGACGAGAAAAATTACACTTCACGGACTTGAAGCAGTTCACACTGCTGCAGTTGTTGTCAAGCATTTAGCTAATTTCCCCAAGATGGGACCATAAGCTGCCTGGAGAAGTCGCCTGTTTTAACCACTTTCACGCTATACAGTAATGTGTTGTCTGTCATTCAGTAGACACTAAAATGAGATCACATAAAGGATGCTTAATGTTGCAATTTGTACTGTCGTGATGTCAGTGAAATGTCATGAATCACGAGAAGAATTATGCACTCTGTAGGCTACAACACAGCATGACCTACAAACTTTAAAAGTAAGAAATAAAAATATTTGTTACTCTTGATTTTGGTTTTATTTACTCTTGAAACAGAAGACTTTGGGGACCCTGCACAAGTATATCTAGTATATAGTATCTTAACTATTATTGTCTGTGCACCCCCCCCCCCCCACGTGGCACGGCGGTATTTCTGCAGACTTACAACGCTAGAATCCGTGTTTCAATACCCGTGGTGGGCAGAGCAGAGATAGCCCATTGTGCAGCTTTGTGCTTAATTACAAACAAACAAACTATTGTCTGCTGTATCCTAGTCATCAGGAAGTACCTTAGTACTGGATAAAAGGTTTCATTGTATGTTTGAACCCACAGGTTGTGGATCAGTTTAAGTATGTTTGAACCCACAGGTTGTGGATCAGTTTAAGCATGTTTGAACCCACAGGTTGTGGATTAGTTTTAAGCATGTTTGAACCCACAGGTTGTGGATCAGTTCAAGCGTGTTTGGACCCACAGGTTGTGGATCAGTTTTAAGCATGTTTGAACCCACAGGTTGTGGATCAGTTTTAAGCATGTTTGAACCCACAGGTTGTGGATCAGTTTTAAGCATGTTTGAACCCACAGGTTGTGGATCAGTTTTAAGATGTTTGAACCCACAGGTTGTGGATCAGTTTTAAGTATGTTTGAACCCACAGGTTGTGGATCAGTTTTAAGCATGTTTGAACCCACAGGTTGTGGATTAGTTTAAGTATGTTTGAACCCACAGGTTGTGGATCAGTTTAAGTATGTTTGAACCCACAGGTTGTGGATCAGTTTTAAGTATGTTTGAACCCACAGGTTGTGGATCAGTTTTAAGTATGTTTGAACCCACAGGTTGTGGATCAGTTTTAAGTATGTTTGAACCCAC